TTGGACTGTTCCAGATCGGGATCTCAACCAACTATCAACAGCATATTTGGCAGCGTTGTGGTTTACCAATCCGGCCTCGGTCTGGCGAGACCAATCGTGGCTATGGKTGCTTGTAATCTGCACACAACACGTAGAGTTTCCTCGATAACCATGGGGAGTCGTCCATCTGTCAGCCTACGTCTCATGTATTTGAAACTTTCGCGTCGTCAGCTATCATGCATCTTAGCTTGGTAGGGCAAGGGCTTGGTCTTCAAAATAATCCCGTGCGGGGAAGTCAGGCCGCTGTTATCTAAAGGCGAATGAGTCCTCAGGGAACGATCTGGCCACCCTTCACTGCATTTCTGAACACACCAGAAGCTGTTGGTGATTGATTATGAGGTAGGTGTGCCTGGCGCAATGCAGCCGTAAACCGTCGTATTGCCAACRGAGTGATGACTGGTCTGCAGGTGAGGGCCAGGCAAAGTTGGCCAACTGCGTCAATTAGGAGGGAGAAAAGTTGGAACAGTAGCTCGGGTGGCAGGCGAACAAAAGGCGAGGAGAGATCGGGTAGCGCAACTTATGTAGGTCAACTTTGTAAAAAGAACTGGTTTTGGCTCCTCGTTCTGCTTTGTTCTTAGCTTCTTGTTGTCGCATGCTGTTGTGCGTCTTGAAACAAAGCGCAGGGGCTCTGGTGTCAGCCCCCCAGCTCCAGCAGGTATGCACTAGCACGCATATGCTGGTGCATGCCTGGGCGTCCTGACTACCAGCACGGATGCGGTGGCCCATAGGACGCCCTGGTGCATACAGTACAGCCCACGACCTTCGAGGATACCTGAGGCAACATTCGGAGATTTCCACTGGACCTGCAACGTTTTTCATTTGTCTCATCCTGCACCAGCCCTTCCGACCACACAAACAGACAGACCAAGTCAGGGGCGTTGATACAGAAGAATGGGGTCAAGCCTCAACGCAGTGGCATTAGTAGCATGTATCCTTGAAGAAACCAGGGCAAGTTCATTGCACCAGGGCTAAGACGGAAGAGAAAACAAAGACGTGCGGTAGAGAACAAGCAGCCAGGGCTTAGCGTGGAAAAGCAGAAAGAAAAAGAGGGGCAAAGGGTCCTACTATGACAAGGCTCCGTTGGACATGTAGCACGAAAAGCTTTTCCTTGAAATATCATTAATGGATAGGCTCCGCG